CAGGAGTCCATTCATCTTATAATTGCCAAGGTTGGAAAACCCTATTTGAATGGAACAGATTTAAAAAAAAATAAATCCAAAAGATCTGTAAAATACCATGTGTAGCTGAAAAAGTGTTGTGCAGCCACCTGATTTACAAAGTGGCCAAGAGGTATGTGTGCCATTATTCCAATTCCACTGTGCAGCCACCACTTCATAAATATGCAGCCTCCCTGGCTTTAACTAGGATCCAAAGAAAAACAAGAACCCATTAAATCTATGGGACTTCTTCAGATCAATAAGGGCAAGTAGCAAGGGAAGCTGCAGAAGGATGGGGGCTCTTAAAACAGAAACCAGCAGTTTCATTTTTCTAGCATCTTCAGCACTAGCATTTCAAGAAGCACTGCCAAAATAAATTCGAAAGAAAACCTACAAGATCCTAATAATAAAGTAGAAAGTTGCAAAACTTTTTTTTTTTTTTTTGCAAAGAAATTAACTTTGGGGAAACAAATTTTGCCATTCTAAGTGATAGCCACACAGCAGAGGAAAGCTAGGTCCTTAGTGAAAGTCACAGCTGGTAATCAGGTGCCGATTTACACTAAGCAGCAGATTTCTTTCCATAGAATACAATACAGTTTGCTTCAATACTAAACAAATGTTCAGTTTGTATATAAGACCAATTATCTTAATTCATCCCACAGAAAAGAAACCTGAACGCATGGGCAAGAAACACTACAATTGTGGACAAACTGTCAAGTGTCCTAGATTTCTTCATCATCCAGGGGACTTAGACATAGGATAACCCCACTAAAGCTGGTACTAACTCCCCTTCCCTTCCCTTCCCTTCCCTTCCCTTCCCCTTCCCCTTCCCCTTCCCCTTCCTTTCCTTTCCTTTCCTTTCCCTTCCCTTCCCTTCCCTTCCCTTTCCCTTCCCTTCCCTTCCCTTCCCCTTCCCTTCCCTTCCCTTTCCCTTCCCTTCCCTTCCCTTTCCTTCCCATCCCATCCCATCCCATCCCATCCCATCCCATGCAGACTTAAATACATTTTTGTAATATCTTGAATGAACAGAACCAGAAAAAGCTAACAAGCATTTTTAGTTAATCATAAGGAAAGTATTGCCTGGGAACAGAGTCCAAAGTCTAAGATTTTTTTTCTTGCAAATTTTTTTTTTTGCTATGAAAAGTTTGCAATAACTTAGATGGAGAACAGAATATGAGGCACTAGGGAAGGTTGCAGGCTTCTCAGGAGGCTGGGGCTGGAGAAGCTACGATTGTGGAATGGAAAGGCAATAAGGGAGTCAGAGGACCTGGTTTGCTGGAATTGTGGCTTACCAACATAAAGTAAAGCAAATTATCATGGTTACACACTGGAAATGGAGATACACCCATAAACTTAGAACAAGAAAAATTAAAGGCACTTCATTGCTTTAATTGCTGCTGGAGACCAACCCTCATTAGTCCCAGGCAGTAATAACTGGAAACCACAGATTCCTCAATCTCTGTTGAGATGTATCAGGCATGATAGATAAGGATTTGAAAAGTTGATTAATCATTTCACAGTTCTTATGGTTAAGTTCATTTCCAAACTAGAGATTTACAGAGTAAATCAGCATCATTGTGGCTACACAAAGGTACAAAGATGGATAGATGATTACAAATGACCAGAGATTGGCCTGCTTTTACACAGGTCAAAGAGTTTGATGGGAAAGGTTGGGAACACAAGTGATTGCCATAACAATAGATTGCTGCTTAGGTTGTGGGCAAATGTAGACAATAAGGCCTGGAAATTTGAAAGGATAGGGAAGGTTTACTTGCAAATAAGGAAAAGATGGGCAATTGGAGAAAGAAGACAAGGATCCACTGACAGTGAATGAGCGAGGTTAGACTGGAAAGGCCAGCAGATTTGAGACAATAAGTTGTTTAGTTGAGGAGAACTTCTACAGGCAATGGTTCTCTTAGGGAGAAGGAACTCTTGAGCAAATTTATCCACATTTATTTCCCCCTTCTCTCCTGGTACACACTCCCTCCTCCTCCTCTTAACAGTGATTCTGGATTCTCCACCCAATTTCATTTCTCCAAGGGGCCTCTAGACAAGGTGGTGGTGGTGGTGACCAGTTTTAAGGAAAATGTGCGATTCTGAACTTGGAAGTCTCCAAGGATCCAGAAAACACCTGAATTCTAGCCAGGCTTAGGGAGGTGGAAGAGAAACCCCAGAAGGGCAAGGCCAGGGATCCCAGGATAGTGGCTGGGGAGGAAACCGAAGGCGACTCACCGGATCCTTCGGCAGTGACAATCGCCTCGGGGGAAATGCAGACCCCTCGGTCGTAAACAGGCAGCTCGTCGCAGGCCAGGCTGTCCGGCCAGGCGTGGCCGTACTTGATGAGGACCGGTTCGCAGCCCGTCCGGGCCCTCTCGCAGACGGACTTGCAAGGCTTGATGGGCTCGTGCTGGAAGTCGAGGGTGCAGATGGGCGCGTACATGGCGCAGAGGAAGAAGAGCAGGTCCGGGCTGCAGTGGATGCCCAGCAGCCCCTCGAACTGCTCCATGGCCAGGATGGCGTTGGCCTGCGTGCTGTGGTGCAGGTGGTTGGGCATCTTGGTCATATTCCAGGGCAGAGACTTGCAGAGCGGGATGCGCACCGGCTCGCACGCCGCGGCCCGAGCCCCCGGCGCCCAGGAAGCCAGCAGCCCGGCCAGGGCAAGCAACAGAACGGGCGGAGGCGGCGGCAGCAGCAGCAGCAGCATCTTCCCAGAGCCGCGGCCGCAACCCAGCGACAACCTCTACCCTTGGCGAAGCCCGCTTTCTTCCCGGCGGAGGAGGGTGGACCGCCCCCGACTGCTCGGGGACCCTCTCTCTGGGCGACTCCTACAAATACAGCTGCGGTGCCGAAAGCTGGCCGGAGAGCCTCTCCCACCTTTACCCGCACAGCCCGGGCGGGGAGCGAGGTTGGATTCCTCCCCCGGGTCCCGAACTCGGGAAAGCAAGCTTCTTTGCCTCCTTCAGAGAGTCTCCGGCTCGGGCAGGCTAGAGAGGCCAAGAGAGAAACAGAAGTTGCGCCGGTGCGGGAGAGAGGCGCGAGGTGGAGGCAAGAAGTTTCCTAAGGGAGGCGGGAGACCAATCGCGCCGCTCGGCGAGCTCAGGTCCTTCAAGGCCGGCTTCGCTGATGTGTGACTGGACCGCGCCGCTGCTTTTTCACTCCCTTCCCACCTCCCGGCCGGAGAGCCCCACCTCCCTTCTCGCGCCGCACCCCCCCCCCCGGCTCCCCCTCCCACCCACTTTTTCCTAGGAGAGAGAGAGAGAGAGAGAGAGAGGAGCGACCTGACCTGAGGCTGCCTCCCGCTTCCCTCCCGGGCAGACGCCCCCCGCCCCTTTCTGTTTATCCATCTGGAAAGCGGCCGCCTCCTTCGCTCGCTTTGCGCCGGGGTTTNGGGGTGGGGGGGGGGAAGCTTCTGGTTCTGCCCGAAAACGAGCCGTGGCGACAGTCCCCATAATAAGGTGGCTTCAGACTGAGATTCGTCCCTCGACCCTAAACTGGCAACTTGGCTGAGGAAGCATCTTAATCCTCCCGCTCCTCTCTCTGAAACCAGGCTTAAATTCCTTATGGAGTAAACGGGGGAACTTGTTCTTTTCCTTTCGACTTCAGTATTCTTGCCCCCCCCCTCTTTTTACAACTTTCTCCTTTCTACTTCTCCCCCCCCTCCTTTCTACTTCTCCCCCCCACCCCCCCAACAATAGAAGTGGCTCATAGAGCTTGCCTTAAAGGTCCCCCCAAATCTATTCTCGTTTGTCTTTTAAAGACCCTTTTCATTTGTCCTAGTTTCCCCCCACACACACACACACCTATCCACAAGCCCTCCCCACCCTCATCTTTGGGAAAACTTTCACTTAGTGGCCAAAGGCAGCTCTTCCCACATGGATCCAGATGCTTTTGATCTTCGGGAACAAATAGAAAGCAGACCCTCTCCGCCGTCCCCTCTCTCTCTCACCCTTGGACCCCCCCCTTCATTTCCCACTGGTCTCAGGGCAGAAAATGAAGCCACCGGCCAATGCACACCCTCCCACCAAACAGAAGGTGAAAATCAACCAAGGAGGGCAGCAGAATTCCCCGCCAGACGCAGCCTAACAGGAAATCACCTTTGCTCCCCATCCTTCAAATACGCTTTTGTTTTCACCCTCTCCTTTACACTCGGTGGAGAGAGATGAAAATGGAAAGGAAACTTGCCTTATCCATCTCTCCCAGGGCATTCCTGCGCCCTCATTTGGCTAGAAGGAAGAGTTACAAAGAATGGTGAGTGAGGGGTCAGCCCCACATTGGTCCCAGTATTGAATAATGGCTTCAGGTGGTTTTCTATATTTTTCATATTTTTTTTTTTCATTTTATTATATTTATACCCCGCCCTTCTCCCGTAGGACTCAGGGCGGCTTACAGCCAGTTAAAAACAGTTTAATACAATACAATACAAAGTTTTAAAAAAATCATTAAAAATAAATATTTAAATCGGCCGCTTCTACTAAAATTTGGCTAAAACCAATATATATGACTCTGCTGCAAAAACTGTAAGTTTGTACTCAGCCCTCCGAGTTTCCAGTGGCATTTTTATAACTCTGCAATGGGAGAAATTATGCAATCATTCCCCTGATTGCTTTAAGATTATTTTATGGCCTACTCTTGTTGCTGTACGGTTGGTTAGTTCGTGGTGAAAGATTTGCAGGCAAGTGCCGCACTTGCACCCCTGCATGCCCCAAAGCACCAGTTTGAATCCAAAGGGCTGCACTGTCCTAAAAGGTAAATCTTCAAGTTCAACTTGATTTCGTGGACATATCCAGGTTGTTTTCTTGGCAACAATAAAGTGGGTTCCCACTGAGTTCATTTGGAGTGTTTTTCAGATTTCACAGTTTGTAGTTTCCTGGTGCCTCCTGTCCAAATAACAATCAGACACCGCTTGGGTGTTTCAAGATCAGCCAAGGTTAGCCAATTGCTACTAGGTAGGGGGGCTTTAACGTGGAGCTGTCATTTAAAATTACTCATGATAGTCAATAGAGCATTGATAGATATTAGGTGGAGGGGGGAGAGGACAGGATATCTATGTCGGGGAATATAGTCTCATTTCCCTTGGAGGGCATATGAAATTAGTGTTGGGTGATATTCATGTTTTCTAGCAAATTTGGGCTGTCTGTGGCTACTCATTATAGGCAGTTATTGGCTAAACATTAGCAGATGCCAATGTTTTATATCAAGCAATGGCTAGGTACTACCTCAGGGGTGTCAAACTTGCAATGTCACGTGATGTATCATGATGTATCGTAACTTTTTTTGCCATTGCCGGCAATGGGGTGGGCACAGTTTCACTATGATGCATCCGGCTTATGGGCCGGCAGTTTGACACCTCTGTACTACCTGCTAGATTCAAATTGCATTGGGGATTTAATAATTTGCCAAATGCAAAAGGAACAAGGAGAAGGTTTGCAAGTTCATCAGACATTTGCTCATGGATATCATTATGAAATAACATGGCAAAGCATGTGGGTTTATTCAGGGTTTTGTAATATTGGAAAAATATGATAAGGTTTCTTAAATGATCATTTAGTAGGTTGATTCATTTAACATGTAACTTGATATCATGAACTGCCAATGATGATGTGGGTGCTGGATTTTTTTTGTGTTTTTTAAACATAACTTGAGATTCCAGGATGGCTTTGATTTTAGTTTATTTTTAAATCAGTTGTTGATAGAGCTCCTCTTGTTTGCATTATAAATATTGTGAGGTAATTTTCACAGATTTCTGATAAGACTTAAAAATGGGATAGCCCTTTGGGGACTTTATGAGGGAGACATATACTTACAAGAGTAATAAAATCAAACAATATATTGGAAAATACAAAACAATACTATATACTGACACAATAAAACAGTCCAGCTTTGATAACTCCTTGATAAATCCTCGGGGGGGGGGGTGGGGGAGAAGTCTTTGCAACTTTCTAAAACTTGCAAAATTCTCCCAGGACTCCAGAGCAGGTTGGTTTTCAGTTAAACCAAAGATACAAATGAAATAATGGAAATTTCATAAGTATATATTCATGATAGTCTGGGAGGAAAATTTAAAATGGCATCATGTGTAATTTGTTACAGGTGCAACCTTTGTGTAATGTAACTTAAGACAGTCACAAAAAGCCTCCAAGGCCAAGAAGAAGGTCAAGTTGGAAATGATATGCAGCTGTTGTCAGCCTCTTATTTCAATGGTACTTTTTTTTAAAGGTACAGCAAAAAACTGACATTTGTTCCCTTGCATAGTGTTTTCCTATAGTTACTGTTTTCTGTACTGTGTACTGCTGTATTGTAATGCTTGGAACAATTCTATGTTTGAATCTAATGGAGGATATAATAAATGAAGCCTTTGTATGATGGGCCAAGAACAACATTTCTGGAAGATTTTTTGTTTCTATTAACAAAATTTAAAAAATATTTGAACCGGGGTGTGTGTGTGTGCACTGGAATAAAACTCAGAATGAAATAAACTGGTAATCAAAACCTCACCAAGATAGCTAACCATCTGAATTAACTGCATTTGTTAAAATATACTATTTCAATTTTTATTTTTATTTCCTTGGAACTTTTGCAAAAGAAATATCATACCAAAGGTTTCCTTGAACATTGTCTAGGGTCAGTGGTTGATCAAATAGCTTTCACAGTGATATAGCAAATGAATCCTAACATCTTTAAGTTACTTATTACCATTGTATACTCAATTGCTTAAGAAGACAATACACTGAGTTCAACAAGGTTGTCTTGTGAATAGGTTTAAGTTATAGGAAATTTGAACTTCCTGAACAGATGGACAATGGCACCAGTTACCTAGAGGAGCAATGGCCTGGGGCTTTTGACCAGAAGAGACCTGATCAGGAGTCCCTCATTCTGAATCTTCTGTGTTAAGTAGAATCTTAATTTAAATGACTTATAAGATTCCCGTTTAACCTATAAGGTTCACAGATTGCTTTAAGTTACAATTGGCCAACTTTGTGTACCATGCCACTAGATAATGCTTTATTTATAAGCCACAATGACTGAGTTTACATAATATAGTAAATAGTGAATAACCAAATTATGACATGCAAGGTGAGACCCTGTAATGGGCAATAGGAATAAACTTGAGGAACCCTGAGTTGAAAGTCCTTTAACTGGATCATCTACAAAGCCCCATCAACTATTGCAGAGATAAAATAACATCAAGGCATTAAGGAAGTCTTTTCCTGCCGAGCAGATGATCCTTTTGGAATGAGGGGAAGAATGTAGTATGATCCCTCACAGTTCTATAGGCTACATTTGGGGGAAAGCCCAAGACTGCGTGGATTCTTGAATCATTGATTGCTTTCATTCATAATATAAAACCACACAGTTCAGGACATGAACTTATTAATGTGGGGGCTACCATTACAGTTGCTCCGGTATTCTAAAGAATGCAATGTCAGGAATTGTAGGGATCACCAGTCTGCAAGTTATAACAATTAGTTATCATTTACAACTATCAGTTTCCAAACTCTGCCCGTTACCTGCCTTTCATCCTACACCTCATCTTATCAAGCTTCCTCTCCAAGACAACCTTTGGCTAATAGGATACGTACTGACTTATTTCTTCGTTTCAAAGTCCATGACTTGGCTGGAAATTGTTTAGCAAGGAAGTTAATTCAGTTCTTACATCTTTCGTATTTATTAATCATCACACAGGGGCATCTGCCTTTCTCTAGA